ATCCCTGGTGTGTTGGCCAAGCTATCCCCCGTGCAGCGATAATTTCAGCTCCCAGTTCCCCAGGGAATTAGGACCCTGTGAAAAGAAAACATGCTTCGCACCTGTAAGCACAGGGTGGTCACCGCCCATGCTCATCCATCCAGGGATCTAATTGGGTGTGAAATTACACCTTTGGGAGGTTGCTCCCTGACCGACTGGCCTACCCTGGTGTGTTGGCCAAGCTATCCCCCGTGCAGCGATAATTTCAGCTCCCAGTTCCCCAGGGAATTAGGACCCTGTGAAAAGAAAACATGCTTCGCACCTGTAAGCACAGGGTGGTCACCGCCCATGCTCATCCATCCAGGGATCTAATTGGGTGTGAAATTACACCTTTGGGAGGTTGCTCCCTGACCGACTGGCCTAATGTTGGGGTTTAGGACAAGCAAGTGGTACAGATATCAAAGGGATTCATCCGGCATCTGTGGAGTCCAAAGTGCACTCCCCCCCCATTTGAATAGGGGTCTTTCCCTGACTTTCCCCGCTGCAGATGCTCTGGGGACAGATGGAGATGCGGCCAGTGTTTTCGGCAGGGTGTTTTCTAGACCTTCTCCAAAGATGGGGCATGGTGGTTCAAAGGCCAATGGCTGGTGCTCCTGTTTGGAGAAGCTACCCTGTAATGGGGGGAAAGTGTTACAAAGACAAGGACTTTGAGGGTTTGTATTTACGATGGGACCCGGCCTGTGCTCCCAGGCGCGCTGCTCAGAAACAAGGGCTCTACAGTGCTTAGCATAGGTGGGGCTAAGGCACGCACAGGGCTGGCTGCTCTGGCACAGGGCTGGCGTGATAAAGGTTTTAGGGGAGGGAGAAATACAGCAGAGGGAGGAAACCTAGGAGTCATGGATCAAGGAAAAATAAACCGCCGTGCCGAGGAAGGATATGGAGAGAGGACGTACTGACTTTCAAAGATAGAAAAACTCAGTTAAAATAACATTGTACATTTGAAACAGCGTCGGAGACATAGGAAATTCATTAATTCGGAATTGAGTTTGCCCCAGTAGGTCCTTTCCAGTTCCTCTTGGTGACAATGGGAGTTGGCGATTAACTTCTCTGGGAGCAGGACTGGGCCCCTCTCCCCTAGAAGGGTGTCTTTTTGCATCAGAGATTGGACAGAGGCAGCCTTCTGAGCATATGAAACCAACCTCTATTCGTGCTCGGGTAAAGATCTCTTTCCTGCATCTCTTGCCTGCCTGATGCCTCATGTATTTCCAGTAAACCTGCGAGGACTAGGCTTTTTAGATCACCAACTCAACACATTAGTAAAAAACCAAGAGGCGGCTGTATACTGCAGCACACACAGGATCAGATGGTGCTTGCGGATGGGCCTATCACACTGATGTCCTCGCTTGTGAAAACAGCAAGAATGGGCGCTCTGAATCGGATTTCAAAGGAAATCTGACGCGGACAGTAGCATGTGTATTTGGGATAGGTCCTGCCTTGGGCAGGGGGCTGGGCTTGATGACCTCCTGAGGTCTCTTCCACCTCTAGGATTCTATGATGTAATAGCCAGGACCTTCTACTACAAGCAGGGCCACTGACCTACAAGGTAAAAGGAGTAGTTGCCCCAGGGCCTCGTGATGTAGAAGGGCCAAGGACTCCAGGCCACCACTGCCGCTACCACGGCAACAGCAGCAGCCAGAGCCCTGTGCAGGATGGTCTAGGCGGCTGGGCTGGGGAGGCTAATCTCAGCCCCGCCTCTCCCACCTCAGGCCCTGCCCCTTTCACGGAGAAGGGGGCTTGGATCTAAGATCCCCCAACTTGCTCGGGGCCCAGCAAAATCTGTCACCAGCCTTGACTACAAGGGTGTATATATGGGGACCCTGAAGCAGGTCAGAAACAACAGTAATCATCCAGTTCTATACCCTCACCACTGGACAACACCATCACCATGTTAAGGGTTCCATGATCTTCATACTTTAAACAAGTATTTCGCTGATCTGACATTTTAGGGATTTGTGCAGGTCCCTCTGAGTGACAGACGTGTTGTCTTCATGGCTACATTGAGGCTGGAGCTTCATTTTAGATTAGAAACGAGGCTGAAGCAGGAAAATTCCCTTTGACGACTTGAATTCCAATGAACGACGACTTGAATTTGCACCTCAGACACTGAGTGACAGAATAAATGAAAACGGAATTGCAAGAGAGTATTAGAAAATTAGAAAAGAGAAAAACTCAAGTGTATTGATTTACACTCCAGTATCAGTTTATTCCGTTTATTACTTACACGGTTCCCAGTGTATTAGGCTAAATGGCAGTATAAAATATGGGTTGGGACAATTTAAATGGTCAGTTTAGCCAAAATATTTATGATCAACACTTCCAGCCCAATTACCATATGGACCAGGTGGGGGTACGCAGAGATATTCCACAGGAACCATCAACTCTTCTGGATATTTGCCTATTTTACAAAAGGCTACATAAAAAGCACTAGCAAAGTCAGTACAATCTAACATTTCATATGGACCATGACTTATTTATACCGCTCAATATCCTATATACTGAAATATAAGAACAATATTTGCATCCCATTTGATTGATTTTATAATTATACTAGCAGATGTACCCAGTGTTCCTCGGGTCCTTAACTGTAGTAAATGTGGGTTTTGGGGGGAAATCAAAAGGAAAATATACCTGCTGTATTTAAATGATTGTATAGAGGAGGGAGAGGGGTGGAGTGGGGAGCTTAGGGCAAGGGTTGGGTGCAGGAGTCAGGGCAGAGGACTAGGAGAATTGGAGGGCTCAGGGAAGAGGGTGAAGGAGTTGGGGCAGGAGTTGGGGGGCTGAGGGCAGGGTGTGGGGAGCAGGAGTCAGGGAGGGGTAGGGAACTCAGGGCAAGCGGTGGGGTGTGAGGAGTCAGGGAAGGGGTTGGATTTGTGCATGGCTCAGGGCAGGGGTAGAAGGTGGAGGCAGGGGCTGGGGATGTAAGGGTCAGGGCAAGGGGCTCGGAGGTGTGGGGAGGCTTAGGGCAGGGAGTGGGGGTGCAGGAGCTGGGGTAGGGGTTTGGTCATGGGAGGACTCAGGACGGGGTGAGGTGGAGGAGCCAGGGCAGGGGTAGGGGGCTCAGAGCTGGGGGTGGAGGCACAGGAAGTAATCAGGGCAGGAAGGGGGGCTCAGGGAGGGGGCTGGGAAGTGGGGGTGCTTACTGGAGCTGCCGATGGCTGTGCCAGGGAAGCCGCAATGGCAGGGGATTCCCCCACCCCTCTTCCATCTGGCACTATGACCGGGGGGAGGGGTTTGGCATGAGGTTTTCGGGAGAGGGGCCATTTACCTGCTAGTAGCTGGCCACTCTCTTACTGGTGCAGCCACCCCCTGTGGTCACTCTGCAGTATGACTGTCCCTTGTGCTCGCTGCCACCTATGGTCATTGTGTCCCTACTCTCAGACCCCTCTCTTTCTGTGTTAGGGAAAACAGTTCCATTCCAGGCACATCCTATTTTCCTGGCACAACCAAACCCTGACCTTGCTTTAAGTTAGGATAAGAGGAAGCTGTATACCAAACTTAGTGGCCTTAGCTCTTACGTTTTGAAGGAATTCTTGCTCAAACAGACTCATGGACAGACAGACAGACTGACTAATGGCAGATAGACATGTACAAACTCTCTAAGGGTACGTCTACACGGCGGCGCTATTTCAGGATACTTCCAGTATCCTGAAATAGCTATTCCAGATCTTTTAAGCAAGCTCGTTATTTCGAAATAGAACAGACTCGCTAATTTGATGTCCTTGTAAACCTCATTCCACAAGGATTAAGGGACCTTTTGGAATAGTGGTTTAGTTTGAAATTTGGCACTGTGTAGACAGCGCCAAATTGCGAGATAAGCTATTTTGAAATTGAATTGAAATAAGCTACTCAATTTGCATTGCTCAAATTGCGTAGCTTATTTCAAGCCAAGGGTGCAGTGTAGACACACCGATAGATAGATAGATAGATAGATAGATAGATAGATAGATAGATAGATAGATAGATAGATAGATAGATAGATAGATAGATAGATAGATAGATAGATAGATAGATAGATAGATAGATAGATAGATAGATAGATAGATAGATAGATAGATAGATAGATAGATAGATAGATAGATAGATAGATAGATAGATAGATAGATAGATAGATAGATAGATAGATAGATAGATAGATAGATAGATAGATAGATAGATAGATCATCAGCACTTTTTCAGTAAGTGTGGCTGTGATACTTTGGTAATTTTGTGTCTGATTTGATAAGCAAGTAGTTTTAAGGCAACATGAATCTTGGGGCAAGCAAGACAAATTGGGCAAGGGGTGTAGTAATCTGGAAAGGCAGAGGACCACTGACACAGATTATTCAGCCTCCACATCCCTCCCATGCCCACTGAAATCAGTGAGATTCCTGCCTGTAGAAAAGCAAGAAAGTTTCCATTTGTTAAGCATTGTATGCTGTGGGCCAAACCCTCCTCCAGTTTACACAGGTGCAACACTATTGACTTCACTGAAGCTGCACTGGTGTAACTGAGAGTGGAATTTGCCCCGGGCATAGAGAGCTGGAGGGTGGACAGGCTGGTGTGAAGACAAAGGGAAGGAGGCTTCACAGTGAACAGAAACATACGTACCTGCTGTAATAGTATCTCAGTGGCAGAGTCATACTATCCGAGCTGGGCAGTGTCGCTTATGCCAAATTGCACTTTAAGTGAGGATTTTCTTCTTGCAGTGCCAGCCAGAACTGCCTTCCAATGGCATTATGACTGGGAACATTGCAAAACAGCTCCCTCCTTTTGCTACGGCTTGGAGAACCTGCAATTGCACAATAAGAAGGAAACCGCATATACCCGCTCTTCAGACACATTCCGTATATGCTGTGTACATGCTGCGCCTCCTACCCAGTCCTCATCCTTCGCTCCCTCCCTGCTAGGTTTTGATGCTGCCAACCGGCACATTCTCTTCTCAGCTTCCTATGAGCCTTTTGTGATATTGTCCTCTCCTGGTTCTCTGCCTCTCTCAGCACTGCCTGGCTTCCCCTTCTCCATCCAACCTGGCATCTCAGACCATATGCCCAACTCTCCTCCCCTTTTCTCTGTCATTTTGGGCTGTCATTTCCCAGGGATGGGGCCCAGACTCTCCCATATGCTCAGTGCCCAGCTGCTGTGGCAATGCCAAGAATAAAGACAATTGTTTTTCTCTAGAGAGCGGGCCTGGCCAAGAAGCTCAGAGGAGAGCTACCGGGAAGTTTTGCGAGTGACCTGTGTTATGCAGCAGGTCAGACCAGGATCTTCTGGCATCAAAGTTAGGAATGTATGCAAAGGAGAGACACTGCTTTGCAGACGATACAAATATAAACTCCTGGGTTACTTCTCCAAGGTCAAACACTTAGCCCAAGGGCGGGGAACCTTTTTTGGGTTCAGAAGTCACTGACCCGCAGAAAAATCAGTCAGGGGCTGCACACGAGTGGGAAAGACACACAAAAAAACCCAACCCCATTCACTGGAATGGGCTCCCCAATACTAGGGGGGAGCCCCAAACCTCAGGGGCCAGATCCAGGCAAGCTGGGGACTTCATCTGGCCACTGAGCCTTAGGTTCCCCACCCCTGACTTAGCCTAAGGAACAGCCAGCAGCCAACTGCCTGAACTACAACCTTCCTCTTACCTTGCCAGCAGGTCAAACAATGCCTCTAATTTGTGTAGAATGGATCAGCTTGTACCTCCACCTGCTTTCATAGGGGGTACAGGGCAACCTGAATGGATTATGGCATCTAGGCAGCTCAGATGAAGATGTAACGTTCTACAATCAAGCCTGCCATATCTGCAGCCAGGGCCATCCTTACTCCTATGCAAGACTATGCGGTTGCGTAGGGCATCTGAAAATGTGGGGCACCGCTGGGTCTTAATGTCCACCCATCTGCCTCTTCCTATCCCTTGTATGCGGGTCTTCTTCCTCCGGAGAGGATCTTGTTAACTTGCAAGTGACAAAGCCTGACAGAGCGATTAGCAGCACACCGGACCTGGGAAAGAGCCGTTCCAGTGGTAATGAAGCCACCTAACAGGCATTTGCCAACTCTAAGTAGATACTGTCCGGTTCTCAATTTACTGTGTTAGTTTACAGGAGCCGAGTTTAAAAATGTGCGTTGATATATTGCATTAGTGTGCTGCTGAAGATGATGAAATCACATCTCTAAAAAACTGTCACATCCCCCTCCTTGGGTTGCCATGGCACACAGGGGCACCAGTTTCATAGTAAAGCCGAGGGCCCCGTCCGTCCCGAGAAAGTTCCTGTCTGCAGCTCTGCGGATGATGCAGACGGTCACCACAGTCTTGCAGAGCAGTATTTGGCCATTCACATAGTGTGGGTTATCTTGTACATGTGAAGTAATATAGTTGGAATGATAAACTGACCAGAAACCACTTCTCTGTGCATCTGTGCTCCCAGTTCCACACTCATGTTCCTGGCGGTATCCCAAAATACCTATTCCGCCTCTTTTGAGTGCGCCCGTAATTTTGAAATAGAAGGGGCTCACTATTCCGCCGTCCCTGTCAATCTCATTCCACGAGGAGCAAGGGACGTTTCGGAATAGCACTTTATTTTGAAATAAGTGCTGTGTAGACAGCCCCAAATTTCGAAATAAGCTACGCAGTCTGCATAGCTCAAATTGCGTAGCCTATTTCCAGCTCCGAGTGCAGCGGAGATGCACCCTTAGAGAGCCGTGTCATTAATTAACATGCTCTGGTTAAACCCATGTGGGAGATGTCCGAGGCATCCCCTGGAACAAGTGTTGTTCATTAATTCTCACCAGGATCCATCTTCATTCATTTGTTGTCTTGGGGCCACTCACACGTGGCCCAATTCTGAAAGGTGCTGTCACCTGCAGGATGCACAGCAGCAGGTAATGACAGTGGAGAGTGCTCAGCACTGCACCAGACTGGACTTTGCTAGGCACCAAATACACCGGCAGTGCTATGGCACAGAAGGGGTTAAATCAGCACAGGGCCATTTCCCTTGCAAAGTAACTTCCTTGGTTTTGTGACTCACCTTCCTCCCCCTCCCACAGACACATTAGCCTCCCTTGTAACTGCATTTCAGTTTATTGAAGAAACATTTCCATCATGTATATCAATGAATAGGACAAGAGTCTGGAAATAGAAAGGGCAGAGAGCACTTCCCTGCCTGTCTAAAAGTCTGGCCTAGGAGCTCCTGGCTGTCTCAGGATGTTGCAGGGAGTAATTAATATTTATAACGGCCTTTAAAGACATATGTATTATTATTGTCACACCCCCTCTCAATTTTCTTGCAAACTATTAAACACTGGGGCCTATGCACAATTATGACCAAATATACATAGATCTTTCCTCCCACAGGTTTGCAGTGCAAGCAATGCCATATCTTACGCTTGGGACAGTCTCCATCTTCATGTGACCACATCAAATATGCCTTCAAACTATTGTTCTTCCAAAAAGTCTATAAAAAAATAGCCACTGCTAAACGTCTACCATCCCCCCCCCACTCGTATGGACGTCCAAAGTGCTGTCTCCTTGGCTTAGTCTGTGCCTGTCTACAAACTTCTGGGGGCTGTGACTTCAGATGTTTGCAGCAGGGGTGGTGCTCCATAAATAATAACGTAGCCTTTGCAACATAGAGTATGTCTCGCATACGGGAATATATGCAACGGGGGAACCCACGCACTGAAATAGCTCATGTGCAAGTCTCAGCAGTTGCACACATCCACTGACAGCGTGCTAAAAGTACGCTGCACTTTTTCACTGATAATCATTTCCCAGGAAAGCCATTGTTATCGCCAACCCTCTATCTTTAAGGTCAGTGAGCCTTTATACCTTATCAGTTAAGCAGCAGTGTAAAAGACTCCACTCTTCATGATATGGTATTTGGTGGGATTGATTGATTGTTTGATTGGCACAATAGCAGGGTGGGTAAATAGAGATTATTTTAAAATAATTAATTGTATGATAGATGCCTTCTTGCTTTATCTGAGCAAACTGGCTGCTCAGCATTTTGTGCATTCACCGCTTATTGGCCTTTCATCATCCCCAAAAGAAAGAAAACTGGAGGTGAGTTGGGATTGTTCTAACTTTATTGTCATGGTTAAGAAGATTCAACAAACAGAACAGTCCACAGGTCCTGAGCCAGCTCCAATCTGAGATTACGCAATGCTGAATTAACCTGTATGTGGTTAGAGGAATGAGGAGTTACAATGGCCATCCATAGTTTCCTGGCCCCATCTTTGAGGCGTGCATGTTGTGAAGGGCGTCTGAAAAATCTTAAGCTCTGGAATGGTCACACCAAGCGAATGCATCTTCCAAGGATTTCATTGTAGTAGTGTCTGCAGTGGCAACACAACGTTGTCTTTGCACTGTTTCACTGAGAGCATTGAAAGGAAAGCATAAGAAATAGTCCATAAAATAGTTTATATGACAGAGAAACTGAGTGGCCAGAAACTCGCCCATCTGCTAAGTTGTAAAAATTGGAAGCCACCTTCCATTACAACACTGCTTACTCATTACAGGTTGAACCTTCCTGGTTCGGCATCCTCAGAATCTGACTGGTCCTGGACCAAGGAGTTTGCTGGACAAGGGGAGGTCAATGCAACGGGGTCTCCACATTTCCTTCCAGCCACCCCGCTACCACTTAGGGCTCTGGTCTCCCCGTGGGGGGATGGACTCTGCTTCCCCCACCATGTTCCTCCATGGCTTTGCTGCCATCCAGAATTCCACGGCTCTGCGGCCCCCTGAGGGGGGGGATGTCCCTATACTCTCCCTAGCAGCCCTGCTGCAGCTGGGGACTCCACACTGCACCTGCCCTAGTCTGGCAGTGCTCCTGGCTCAATGGGGTCACCCCAATGATGCCAGACCAGGGGTGTTGCTGGACTAGGGAAGTCTGGATTACAGAGTGTCAACCTGTATTTGTATTGTAGCACAGCAGGTCCAGTCATGGACCAGAACTCCACTGTGCTAGGTGCTGCACACACATAATAAAAAGATGGCCCCTGCCCAAGGAGCTTCCAGTCTAAGGGTCAGACAAGAGACAAGTAGATCCAGGTAGGCAGATGGGGAAATGTAAGGCAACAAGGAGACAATCTTGGTTAGCAGGCGAGGCAGAGGTCTGAGCACACTAGCTGCCTAACCACTGTCAAGAGTTATGTAGACATCATGGAAAAGGAGAGTTTTAAGAAGCAATTTGAACAGGGTGGTGAGTATTGAAGGCTAGGGAGGTTAAGTCTCCCCTCACCTAGTCTGTCCTGCCCATGCTCTGCTCTGAGGCCCTGCCCACACTCCCCCTCTCCTGAAGTTGGCAGGGGGTCAGCTCCAGCAAGAGCTTTGGGCTGGTACTCGGGCCAGCCAGAGGACTGGGATTGCTGAGTCAGCTGGCTTGGGCTGGCCAGAGCGCCTCTGGCCATGTAGCAGGGGTGGGATGCGCAGGGCTCGGCCAGGGGGAGAGGGGTGCTTTGGGTGAGGGCGGGGCCAGTGGCTGGCCTCCCCAAAGAGGGGTTCACCCACCACCCCTGAATTTGAAGGTGGACAATACAGTAGCTTGCTGAGGAAGCTCATATCATGACTATACCTAGTGCCCCAACCAGCACTGGATCAGCTGGAGCAAGAATTCCAAGGACAGGGAAGAATGGCCTACAGACCACCAGCAGGGCCAGTGCCTCTGGGAGCAAGAAGTTGCTTGGGACAAGAATGAGGGACCGAGCTGATGAAAGATGACAAGCTGCGTGAGAAGGTTTTTATCTGAAATACTTCAAGAAACTAAAACCGCCAAGAGCTTATATTAAAATCAGCCCTCGTGTCACACGGAAGTCAGGATGGTCTCCAAAAAGCAAAAGGGATTTCCCCAGTCTTGAGGAAATCTTGTCAATCTGTCCAACTTCAATGTCATTTTTCTGAGTATTTTTCTTTTATTCCACAGATTTGAAATCCACAGAGTAAACGTCCTTCCTGCACCTTCTGCAGTTACGCGTAGGGAAAAGCATACACAGGAGTGAAGCAAAACGAACTCTCCTGAATTAAACATAGAATTTTGGACCCTAGTGTCACTGGACCATAAAAAATTGGTGCAAAAATAGGAAAGGGAGAAAGATCAATTGTTTAAAGGATCTAGCTGGGCTTGTCTTGAAATGATCAGTCCCAATTTTCATATACCAGTTCCTCTGTGCTTGGCACTGGAGCTAAGATGTGTTAATGGAGTATTAACAGGGGTTTCCCTACTCCAGGGGGTCCTCACTGTAAGTCCAAGATACATTCCAAAACACGTGGACTTATAGCAAAACAGCTTAAAGTGGGGAATTTTTTCCCCGCAGATAACTCCCATTTAAGCAAACTGGGGGGAGCGTTTTGCACGACTTATAGTGGGGAATGAGAGGACTTACAACGCATCAGCTCCTACAAATGTCAACGACTTTAGTGTGGAATGGATGAATACCGGAGTGACTTATAGTGGGGACCCCCTGTACAGGGAGAAAAATGTGGCTTTGTGGTCTGAGTATAAATAGGATGCAGGATTTCCTCATTTCTCACCTGTCTCTGACAGTAACTCCCTCTGGAGCCCTGACCAAGTCCCTGCAAACCATACCTCACAGAGTCCATTTTCTTTGCAGCCACCTTCTCAAGATGATCATGGAAGGTGAAGGTCCAGTCAACTGTCACTCTGCTGCATGGTGGGGCATTATCATGTTGCACCTTTTAATCCCAGAAAACTATATTCAGGGTATTTTTGGGTCTCCTAATAGCAAGAGGAAATGGTGCATCCCTTTGTTTTTCCAGGGTTTGGTTTGGGCTTCCATTTCCAGAAGTAGTGTTCCATAATCTGACGGTCCTCAGCTAATGCTTTTTCAATGTCGTGAAAGTTAGGTGCTTGGATTGTCATGGCAAGATTAACACATATCTCAATGTAAGTGATTTAGTTAGAAGCATGTCACTTATGTAAATACTAGCAGATGTACCTGGCCCCTTAACGCTTTTTGGGGGAGGATGCAGGTGTCAGGGCATGATGTGGAAGGTGTAGGAGTCAGGACGGGGGCTTGGAGGTGTGAGGGGATGGAGGGCAAGGGGCGGGGGAGAAGGAGTCAGGGCAGGAGTTGGGGATTCTGGGCTGGGAGTGTGGGTGCAGGAATCAGGGCAGGGGTTGGGGGACTAGGGAAGAGGGCTAGGAGGTGTGGGAGCTCAGGGCAGGGGATATATGGGGAGCTCTGGGCAAGGGATAGCAGTATAGGATTCAGGACAAGAAGTGAGGGGCTCAGGGCTGGGAGGTCGTGGGGGGGCTCACTGGGACCACTTGCAGTGGCAAGGGTGACGGCGACTGCCCAGGGGCCCCAGGGCCATGCTGCTGCGGCAGTGGCAGCCAGCTGGGCTGATGGCAGCAGCTCCCTGGGGCACCCAAGGGTGGTGGGGGGCCATGCAGGCCTCCCACCAGTGCTCCCCGGGACCAGACAGGAGGCCGGGACATGCAGGGGCCAGCAACTGCTCCCAGGGGCAGGCTACGGTTTTCAGTGCTGCCAGCCAGTGGCTTCCACTGGGGCACCTGCTGCCCCACTGTGGTCATGCCACAGTATAACTCTTCCTGCTCCCAGACCCCACCCTTTCCATTGTATGAGAAACAACCGAACTCCAGATCCATCCCAACCCCTGACCTTGCTTTAAGTGATGATAAGAGGAAGCTGCATACATATGTGGGGGTCCTAGCTCTTATCACTTAGGAGGAGTTCTAGAACAAACGGACTCGCAGATGGACAAACAAACAGACGCACATTTCTAAACTATAGACATAGGAGACTGAAAGGAGTTGGTGCAAGTACAGAGCCTTGTGGTGGCCTATGGTATATGGTACAAGGTAGGTTGGGTGTTATTAACTAGGTTACCTGTAGGCATCTGTTACTGGTCATGGTCCACAGCAGGCAAAGTGTCTGGTAGCAGAATATAATTTTGCAAGTTTCAGCATCGTGCCCTTTATCCATACACCGATAACAAGGTGATAAATATTGTGTGGGGTTTTTAGTTTTTTCTGATTGCCACTCTCAGTGTAAATTGTGAGCGCCAGAACTCGGCTGCAACAAGTACGTTTTGGCCAGAAGTCTGCCTGTCTGACAGGGAAAACTGGCTCAGTACAGTAACAGGGCGTATTCTTTGGAGGATGATATGGTCAAGAAACGTATAGGTTGCGCTTAGTAGAGCAAACAGCCTATAGCCTCCTGTTTCATTTGTGGGCTTCTCAGGCTTTGGAGTGGGACTCACCATTGCTGCAAAGACTCATTGGAGCCCTTAAATTGACTTAAGCACCATGGCAACCGCTTCTACCATTGTTCCCCTACCAATCCACTGAACTGCTGTGACATTCCATCTTCCTGTCCACCAAGACTTGGACGACACTACCCCCAACATCTTAAATCCTGCAAGGCTTTCTGGGAACATTTGCTTAGCCTTGTGCAATCAAGTCTGGGCTAAACAAGAGTTAAAAAATTAGTACCTTGTGCCAGATCCCATGCAGGGGGTTCGATTTTCCCTGGACATCTTGGTCAACTCTGAACTGAATCCAAACCAACCATGGTAGATGCAGACATCGAATGCACCAACGGAATATGAAGCACTCCCTGGGGTACAAGTGTGACTCCCCCGACGGGCCATCAAACAAATCACACCAGCCGCTGCCCAATTTATAAGTTTGAAGGAGGCATCACTGCCATGAATTCTGCCACTTCAGGGGGAGCCATTGGACTCCATCAACGTCAGGTGAAATTGTAGTTGCTGCTCTACACTAGCCGGCCGAAAGAAGAAGTCCATCTGCAAACAGGGAGAAACACCTAAGAGGGCACGTGGTGAGCAACGTACCAGGAAATCAATGATCATTTCAGCACCGATCCCAGCAAACATGTTCACACCACAAAAGCTCCCCTGGAAACTGGCACCTGGTCTCATCACAGAAGCCATGGCTGGGTTGCGGGCTGGCGACTGAAGTGCTGGACCATCAGGAATACCACCAGGCCCTCAGCTGGGGTTTACAAAGGAGCTCGTATTGGCATTGCTCATGCTATGGGTTAAAAAGGGTTTTATTTTCCACGTCCGTCAGCCCAGCATTTTTCACCATCACTCCATTCACACAACAATGAGCCAAACTGTTATTTAGGGGTTACTGTCTTTGTATCTTGGGGGTTGCTGGAAAGAGGGGCCAACTTTTCCAGGGGATGACCTACATCCCAAACTCCAGCAAGTCACCCCATTATACGATAAAGTCACTCCTGCATCGGTTCAGTGGGTTGTTTTATCGAAGCAGTCAGAAAGCCCAGGAGCTGTACCGTCTGCCCAGCTCAACTCCAAGGGCTCAGCCCAATAAGGGTGCCTCAGCTCCTGTGTTTGGTGACATCTGCTCTTTCCAAGTGCTGTGTCTGGACCTGAAAGGTGCTCAGCACCATTTCTCTGGTGAAAATAAAAATAAAATTATTTGTAACCAATCAGTTAACAACTGCCTGCATGTCTCTGTGGACATGCAACAGAATTTCTCCTGAGCTGCTGGCTGTTTCATGGCTCACATTGCTTGATGGCACTAGGCCTTTCCATCTCACCTTCTCCCCAGTCTGTTTCCTCTAGTGACTGGTGCTCCATTAACTCATACCTCTGCATAAGGATGGAGGCTGAAATCATCTCTGGTTAGTAGAACCTGTGCCCTGTTTTCTCTCATTGTTTCCAGCAATGGAATGGACCAACTGATGTCATTCCCTTGTGTACTTTCCTCCCCACATTTGTTATCTTCTCTGATATGAGTCATGGAGTTACCCTGCAATATGGCCGATCCTTTTGTTCCCCTTGCTGGAAACAAAGGCCTGCATCCACTTTTGCTTTGCTCTTTGCCTTCAAAATAGCAGGATCTGTTTTTCTCCTTCCCTGAAACTATACCAGCCCCAATGATGCAGCTCTGAAGCTTCACAAAGCGAGATCCGCCTCTTCCCCGTTATCTAGAACTTCCCTGAGAATAGGCAACTATTTCAACCCTACCTTTTGCTGATCCATTTGATTGTGGATGCCCTGGCCTTGCAGTGGGATGCCAGATCTTGTATTTATTATTTGTCGTATTACAGTATCTCCTAGTAGCATTAACCCAGATCGGATCCTCACTTGGCACCCTTTAGCACAAAACATTTTGTTAGCCAATTCTTTGGGGGAGAGGGGTGTCTCCTACTCAAACCGTTTCCTCTGGGGTAAGGAATGGCCACGCCCGGTCTGACCTCATTTTGCAAAGATGGCTCGGATCCTTTTCCCAGTTCTACTGGCTGGCTCTGGGAGGCCCATAGGGTGGGGCTGGAGAAAAGAGAGTGAAGATGACAATTATTGGGTGCACTGGGGCAACTCTTAGGAGAGGCAATCAGGAACCAGCTCCCTTCAAGGTTAGGTGCAACATGTGGCACACACACACACACACACACACACACACACACACACACACACACACTCTCTCTCTCTCTCTCTCACATACAGCCAGTGCAGCCTGGGTTCCCTCTAATTTTTTCCATCCACGTGCAGAATAAACATTGTTATGTGCACCAAAGCATGTGTGGATGTGCACCACCACCTGCTGCCCACTCTGTGGGCTGTGGGGGAGGGCTGCCTAAGCGCTCAGCTTACAGGGCACACGGGTCTCTGCCCCCAAAGAGTTGCCACAGGGAGGGGGGGGGAAAGGGGGGCTTTGGGATCTTAGCCCAAGCACCAGTTACAAGGAGGAGGAAGAGAAATTGTTCTCCTTGACCTGTGAGGATAGAACAAGAGAAGGGAGGTTTAGGTTGGACATTAGGAAAAACTTCCTGCCTGTCGGGGAAGGGGTTAAGCACTGGAATAAGTTGCCTGGGGGGTTATGGAATCTCCATCGCTGGGGATATTTCAGAGCAGGTCGGACAGGGATCGAGCTGGTGCGCGGTCCTTCCATGACCCCGAGGTCCCCGCCCGTGGTAGGAGCCTCTGATTCCCAGGGCTGGGGGGCGGCTAGCCTTGACCCCTAGGCCGAGAGGGGCGCAGGGGCGCCC